TGAGGAATACTCAAAAAGAAGGCACATGGATTAGAGACAGTTAGGAATGTTTAAACTGAGAAAACAAGGGTAAAGGAAAAAAAAAGAATGTTTTCTTTTTAAGCAAGAATGAGAACAGGGTGAGATGAAGTTGGCAGAAAGCCTTCGAGGCCAAGCAGATAAGTTTGGGATTCATTTGATAATAACAGGGAACTGCAGCATATTCTTAAATGGGAAGGTGATGAAATATGGTCTTTAAAGATCCAAACTTTCTTTGCTTCAAGGTATTGCATTTGGTTACACTATGTTTCACCAAACAACTGGAGGGGAAAATAACTCAATAACCTTTATTTTAATCCTCCCCTGAGGACATTTTTTATTGATTTTAGAGAGTAAGGAGGAGAGAGAAACATAGATTGGTTGCCTCTTTATGTATGTGCCCCAACGTAGAACCCACAACCTAGGTATGTGCCCTGACCAGGAAATGGAACCGGCAACCTTTTGGTATATGGGACAATGTTCCAACCAAATGAGCCACCCAGCCAGAGCTAATCTATTATCCTTTATGTGTGCTTTATACATACTCTGATCAAAAAGAGAAACTGAATAAACAAACAAAAATCTTTATATAAGGAATGAGTATCCTGGGGAGGAGGGCCTTTCAGATATGCTTGTGTCTATTAACTGCCACTGTACATTTTAATGAGAATCATAGTTTAGAGCAAGAAGGCATGCTGAAGATAACCTTTTACTGACCACCTCTTCATTTTCACAATGAATTAAATTGAAGCTCAAAAACTAAATAACTTACCTAATGTTAAAAATAAGTTAGAAGATTCAATACCAAAACTCAGATTTTTTACGTAGCAAGATCTAAAATTGTGCTGTCCAATGCCGTAGCTACTAGGAACATCTGGTTATATAAATTTAAACTGGTTAAAATTAACTTTAAATTCAGTTCCTCAGGCACAACAGTCACATTTTTTAGTGTTCCAAGCCACACATGGTTAATGGCTACCATATCAAACAGTGCAGAAAAAGAGTAATGTTGTTTGATTCAATGTTGTTTCGTTAATAACATGCCTTAGGAACTTAACTCTTTTTTCATATCAGTTCACCTATAGTAAAATTGGTTTTGTTATACATCATTTTCCTTAAAATCACAGGAGCTATGACTTATAAGTAATTCCATTATTGCAGAAAATTTAACTGGACAGCATGATCTAAAGAATGAGCTTCAGAGTCAGACAGACCTAGTTTGAATTCTACTTACTAGCAGTGTGATCCTAGACAAGTTCATTTATCCTCACCCCAAGTGGGGAGGTGGTGGGTTGGAGTGGGCGGGGGAAGCAGGGGATTAATAATACCTATCTCACAAAGTGTACTTGATGATTATGTGGGATAACATGAAAAGCCCCTTTACACAGTCTGGCACATAAAAGACAATAAACATTTCCCTTCTGGATTCTTTTTTCTTCCTACTCCTCAATATAGTAACTCACCCAAATTAATATCTTCCTTCTCCTCAAGATAATCCACACTACTTAATTATCTTTGTTCCTGCCAATTTCTTCAAATATTTCCAACTCTCTTCCAGTGTTTCTATTTAGGAATAATGAAATGAAGAATAAATGTGGGGGATAATGCCTCTAATGAAGATAAATTTCCCATTTTCCATCCTATTTAAAATATGACTATACTAACCGATCACACAATGGAAAATATATTACACTCTTCCTAAATACTGTACTTCCTTCCACACCAGTAAAGATTCCACACTATTTCTGCACTATATTACTTCTCACCATCTGTACTACTAATTGAATATTAAATGAAGAAATAACACCTTCCCCCTATATTCATGGGGAACAATAAAAAGGATTACCAGAACACTGAACCAACCTTCAAGGCCTCACAGCTTAATCCAGTAAATAGACAAATTTAACAAATCTAGACTATAGCATACAAAAAATTTCACTGACATGCATATTATTACCCCAAAAAAACAACAACTTTCAACTCAGTTTGTAACTAGTGAACTTTTACCAATACTAAACTTTATTTAGGAACAATTCATATTTAGTCACATAAAGTCACATAACTTGCTGTTTCTAGTGAGGTTACCAATTTTACTTTCCTATTAACTAATGAAGAATTAAAGCAGAGCCCTGACTTGGTGGCTCAGTTGGTTGGAGCATCCTCCCATACACCACAAAGCTGTGGGTTTGATCCCTGGTCAGGGCACATACCTAAGTTCTGGGTTCAATTCCCTGTCAGGGCACATATAGGAGGCAACTGACAGATGTTTTTCTTTCTCACTCTCTCTTCATCTCTCTTCAATAAAAGCACATCCTCAGCTGAGGATAAAAAAGAAAAAAAAAACCAGGAAAACTATGGATTAGCTGTATCATCCATTTAAAAAGAAGAATGCAGAACTTTTAAACATTTGTCTTTAAACTTCCACCAAGCAAGATTTCTAAATATTTTTTAAAGTTTCTTTGTTGTTTAAAACTGACCATATTAACTTTCAGATTGGAAAACAAAAGTATTCTTAATAAATCAGTAACAGTGTCTCCTTGAAATTATCTCGTAGTCTCTTACTTTGTTCCTTAAAGATAATTTACTCAAAAATATAACCACTGATCCCCCTCACAGAATTTAGAATAAGTCATAAATACTAAATAGATAACATTGCACATTGCATTGTCCTTAACTCAAATTATGTTTAGTAGACAAAACTATTTTGAATATACATTATCATAGTTTAATAATAATCCATGGGGACTCACATATGTTAAACATTTTTTTAGGTTTTATTACTATCCCACATAAAGTATTTTATACATAAAAAAAAGTTAGGCTTCTATGCCTGAACTTTACAAATCTAATTTGTGAGAATCTATAGTTTTTTTAAGTCATTCAATAATAATGAAGTGTACCTTGGTCACAGTAGTTCAAATGAATTTTCCTGAGGCTGCATTCTGAGTACATCTGACCCAGAAAGTATTTTTAGCAAGTGTGTTCAATCAATGCTGGTTTTATGCCTAGCCTAAATTAGAAATTGGGTGTCACAAATTTAAAGTAACAAAGTTACTAGGGACATTTTAAGAGATATTCAAATTGAACATAAGGAGAAAACCACAAGTCTGAAACAATTCAACACACACAATCTAGAACCTAGGTAGGTTAGAACAGCAATTTTCAACCTTTTCCACCTTATGGCACATCTACACTAATTACTATAATTCTGCGGCACATCAAAAAATATATATTTCTTCTGGATCTGACAAGAAAAATAGGTATAATTTTAATTCACTCAAACCGACGCCTACTGTTGTATTGGCTTTCATTTTTTTATTTGACAATCTAAGGGAAAAGAGGTCAGTGTCTCTGACTAAATAGTCAGGATTGCATGTTTTAAAAATTCTTGTGGCATACTGATGTGCTGTGGCACACCGTTGAAAATCACTGGGTTAGAAAACAGGCAATAAGAAAGTCACATCCTCACCCATTACTGCTTTTGAGGAAACTGGGTTGTGATTTGCTAACTTTAAACTACTCAATTGATATTAATTAAAAACTACAAAAGTTGTGATGGCTTCTAGTGTTTCCAAAATCTCTTGCCAGATATTTAAAACAGATCAGCTAAATAAATTATCCCATGTACGAAAAAAAAAAAACACCATGTTTCTCTTCTTATAAGCCAGTCAAGATCATATTATGGAACCATATGCACATTCCACTGCAAAATGGTAACAAAGATATGTGTGCCATTAAAAAAAATGAAAGAGACATAACAGTTCTATGGTAACAGCAGCATACATTTATTCTGACCAAAAAAAAATGGTACGTGCCACAAAATTACTGAATAAAATTACTCTTATTATGAGTTAGCAAAGAAATTCTGTACAATACACAAACTTCTTATAAAAAATCTTTTTAAAAATCTATAGATTTAAAAATCTATAGGTTTATAGATTTTATAAATCTATTCATCAAATGAAACATTTAACTGAGATACCAGTCCTATTCTATTAAGCACACTTTGGGCTCTGAATAATCATTTAAGGTCATCTCCCCACTAAGAAAATGAGAAATTATTTCTTCTCAGGCGTCTTAAAATAAAAAATCAGGATAAAAAATTCCCTAGCTTTTACTGTCCCACAGTCGTCCTTTCTACTTAAATTATCTTTTACAACTAAATAGGACACAATGGCTTTCTGGGGGCTTTCCCCCATAAACATGGTTTAAAATGTATTGTCTCAACTGCGCCCAAGATCTGGTCACATAAACCTAATATTACTCCAATTTCCTGATTTGACAAGCAGATGGTATACTGCATATACATGCAGGTTCTTCTAGGACAAGGGCTTGAAAATCCTACAGATCGTCCTGGTACATACATGGTGCTGTCACTACATAATGCAACGCCAGCAAGTCTCCCATTCTAAGTTTCTCCGAAACATGTAATCATACATCTGTGCAATTGTAAACTGTTCCATTTTAAGGAAACCCTGGGAAATGCATCGATATATCTATTTACCTACATCTCAACTTCTTTTTGCCCTAACTACAGCTTCTTAAATACAAGTAATACCAGTAGAATCATAAGAGGCTTAAACTTCAATGGTAGGAACAGTCTGCCTATGCAGTATGCTGATAGCGCTCCTATGAGCCAATTAGGAAAGCTATCACCAATGGAAAACTCAAAGGATTCTAAAACCTCACCTAGAGTTTAGGTACCGTGGAACATTCCATCTTCGCACCTATTCCATTCCTTCTTCGCCTCACCCAGAACAGAGATTCCAACTCCTACCCCCAAGAACTCCGAGGGCAGAGGTCCCGGAAACAGGGGCTGGGGTGGGAACCAGGGACGAGAAGGCGGGGAAGGATCATTTTTTTCCCTTCCTTTTAAGTCAACGGTGTACCTACGGTTTGCCCTACCTGGTTCGCCTCCCACGAGGCACACACGTCCCAGATAACAGCCTCGCGTACAGCGTGCGGGGCCAACAGCCGCTTACCTCCGTATCACAGCCGCGTTCTCTCGGCTGGAGAAGAAAAGCCTGGAGGCCCGGCGCGCCGGGGAGAAGCGCGTCCGCCGCGCCACTCCCGGAGGGGGGTGGGGGGGGTCCTTCAGCGTCCTCCTAGTAGCCGCCACCGCAGCGGCGGTGCCACCGCCGGGAGCTGCCAGCACCTCCTCATACTGCGGGGCTGCCGCAGACCGGCGCCGCTGGGAAACGAGGAGGACGGCGGCCGGCGCACACTCCTACCTCCCTGCGTGGATGAGATAATCCACACCCCCAAAAGTGCTGTGGGGGAGGAGGACCCCGAGAGGGCGGTCCGGCCCCCAACCTCCGACCCCTTGGCAAAGCCAAGTCTCTCCCCTCCCTGGCTCAGTCCCCGAATTCAACCCCTGAGGACCCAGGGGTCCTGAGAGAACAATGTTGCGGGGGGCGGGGGGAGCGTAAGGAGCAGAAAAGCGCGCAGCACGACGTGAGCAGGCGGTATTCTCGGGCAGCGTTTGCGGGTGAGAGTGCAAGAGGCGCTCGGTCCCCCGCCTCTTTCCCCTTCTCCGGTCTCCTCTGTCTCCTCCTCCTCCTCCACCCCTCCCTCAAGCGCACCCGGTCTCCCAGGCCACAGCATAGCAACCGAACAGGGCGGCTGCGCAGAGGCCGCCAGTCAGCTACTGTAGCTGCGGCGGCGGCAGGAGGTGGCAGGAGGGATCTCGCGAGAGGTGAGACCAAAACCCTTCCCTGCTAGCGCAGGGCTGGAGAGGTTGCACCAGCCTTTAAGCCGGGGGACACGCAGGTGCTAGGAAGGCCGACCTGGGTAGTCAGTCCAGGAGGGTTGGCTAAGAGGAGGAGGCGGAGAGCTATGGCTCTGCCCCAGCCCCCCCCCCCCCCGCCCCGCAGCCACCCTAGTAGCGGTTGGTTACTAGCACGTTTTCCTTGCAAGACCTACTGACCTAAGGAGCCGGTCAGAATGGTAAGAAACCTAAGTTTTAAAGGGGAAAACCAAACCTTTGGGCCCAGGTCCTCCCAACTTAAGCGCTAATAGCGGATATAGGTTTTAGGACACAGTTTTGAATCATTTCCTTTCCTAAATATAGCCTCTAAAATGAATAAACGTTCATTTATAAAATATGTTTGTGTGCCGTCTATGTGCCAGGAACCGTGTACTTTAAAAAAGTGAATTAATTCATTGTAATAACGCATGTGAGTTTGGCGTGATCACGCCAGGGTTTTTCCCATGTGCCTCCTCATATTTTATTGATGATACACACATTGTTGATAAGACAGATGCAGATGCCTACCAGCTGGGCGATCTCAAATGAAAATGATGGGAGGAGGGATTTGGGAACAATTCCACTTCTGTTTTTTTGTTTGTTTGTTCGTCAGTGCACTTGCCTGTCGCTTGGCGCCTTTGTGCTTTTCTTACTCATCTTCAGCACCTCACCGCAGCTAGCCATCATAGAAGCATTCTTTCAACACTTTCCCTCCAGCTGGACAAAATGCCTATTTACTAATCAGGGATAATGCTACCAAGATAAATCTTGGAAACTGGTACAAATCTGTGAAAGACAGTATTTTTATTGACCCTCTTCTCCCTCGCACCTCCCTTCAGGGTTTTGTTTTGCTTTGTTTTGTTTTGTTTTCATTTTAAAAAGACAACTTGTCCGTCCATACTTTTAGAGCTTCACCTGCTCTTACTTTCCCTCCCACAGCTTAGTTCCAGCCAGTGCTCCCTCATTCATCCTTCTTCTCTCTAGTTCTTCATTTTCTATTGTTACCACACAGGAATTGGGGTCCTGCTGCCCTCTGCCATCCTCTGGGCAAAATTTCAGAGGCAAACGTTTGGCCATAAAGGAAAGGAATCTTTATTCAAAAGCTTCACAATTTTGGAGTAACAGCTTTCCACATGCATTAATCAGTTAAACTAAACTCTTTAACTCTTTAGTTACAGCTTTAATCATTCAAACCTATCAATTAAGGCTAAATAAACTCTTTAACACCTGAGTTCTATCATTTCCCCCGGTTTTTTAAATTATTTCTATAGGGTTAGTTTACAAACTAAACCAACATAAAATACAAAAGCTATACAATTTTGGAAGAATGGCAGACTTCTGCTTCAGAGATCATCCCCCCTAGAACACCCAAAGAAGAATAACCGTGCCACCCACTGCCAGGCCAGCCTGACCCTAGGCTGTGCCCTGGGTTTCTCCCCATCCAAAATACTGTCTGTTGGGAAACACAGGCAGCTGCAGCATATCATCCAGGCATCTTCAAGGAAAAGAGCCAGAGAGAGCCCAGGAAAGCCAGTGCCTCTCTGAGAGCCCTTCTTTTATTCCAAATCATCTAGCCTATAATTCCAAGAGCTCCGGAGGCATTCAGCTTCTCAGCCAATCCTTGGTAGACTGTTTACCATCACCTCAGACAAACACCTTCTACAGCCCCTCACTACACCTTCCTAGTGATATGATCAAACCTCTCTGTATTATAGTCTTTGTTCATGCTATTCCCTCCACTAAAATGCTCTTCCCTACATTTCCACCTATCATCATCATCTTCTAACAATGGATTACAAGCGACTTCCACCAGAAGTAAGAAGTAATCTCTTTCTCTTCTCACATTGATAGTTCTAGATTTATACCTCCCTTTTTCTTATCTCAGTGTACATTTTTTAATGATACCCCTGTGTGAATCTTATCACCATTACTACAAAGTAAAATACTTGAGGGCAATGATCTTGTCTTAGTTATATTTGTATTCCCTATAATGCCTGATGACACTTCCTGGTGTCAAAAATGTTTGTTGAAAGAATCAAATGCTTAAATCTAAATTGGTAGGATTTTAGAAAGTTACTTGGGACAGAGCAAGTTCTTTCTGAGCTTCAATCTGGTAGGCTGTTGCGTCTTTGGGTGATACTGGTACAGTCTAACTGGCCTTGTTGATGACCTTGTAGGTACCTTGTAGGCCCTTGTTGCTAGTCCACCAACTAATCTTCCTATCTCCAGACCTTCTGTCTCTAGTCCATTTCTCCCACCCCCATTTCACAAATATGAATCTGAGTTATAATATAAATATAGCAGTAGTCTCAACATTGGAGGGGCTGAAGGGGAACACCCTTTGTTTTGAGAAACACCACAGGATGAGCCCTTAGATAAATAAATGTAAGTCTCGTATCCATTTGCTATTCTTTAGGAAAACTGAAGTCACTTTTTAGAACTTGAGATATAATCTATGTATCATAAAATTCACCCATTTCAAGTATACAAGTCAATACTTTACATAGTATATTTACAAAGTTGTGCAGCCATGGCCACTATCTAATTCCAGAACATTTTCATCAAGAAAATGAAATCCATACCCATTAGTGGTCACTCTCCAGCCCCTGACAACCACTAATTGACTTTCTGTCTCTATGGATTTGCCTACACTGGACATTTTATATAAATGGAATAATGTGTATTGCAAGTTATCTATATAAACTTTGCTCTTATTTAAATTATAATTTTTAAAGAAATTAATATATGCTTATTCTGAATCATTTTGATGACTACCTTATAATCAAACACAGCCACCTGATTTTGTATTTGGCACAAAAACCTATAACTAATTTTCCTGGGCTAACGAGAAAAGAATAAAATACTTTTTGTGGAGGTGACAGTGTTCTGGCTAAGTGATGGTCAAATGTCCATGTGGCACATTGTACAAGTTTCACAGCAATTCAAATAGAGAAGGATATTGGGGTAATTGAGTTGATTATAAACATGCCTTTAAAAGCCTGTACAATAGCAGTATGGTCCATATTCCCATGTCAAAGGACAATTTAATTTCAGCAAAACAACATCATCAACCACATTACATAATAGTGTTCATTGAAATATTTTTTGATGATTATCCTTATTTATTTGTTACTCTTAGAAGACCTCATTTTTGGCTGGACTCAGACTTAGAGGTAGAAGCTCTCAGAGAGGACAGCCTACATTTCTTGGCAATTTGTTCCTGGGGTTTGTTTTTGGCTTCCTTCATCCTCTTAGCCAAAAGCATATGCATACTCTGCAGCCTCTTCCTTATTTTTTTTAGTACCTTGCTTCTTCAGAGCAATATGCCAATGTTTGTGTTGCAGGACACGTCGAGTAACAAGACACTGAATCTTAGGTGCTTTGGTTCTAGGTTTCTTACTTTCCTTGTTTAGGGGCTTTCTCACAACATATTGGTGGACATCATCTGTTTTAGAGAGGTTGAAAAGTTTATAGATTCTGGACCCCAGAATCTATAGCTCTTTTGGGCCCCAAGCGACCAGGCACAGTAGTATCAGTGAGACCAGGAATATTTTTCTCCCCCCTTTTTTTTTTACAATGACCAAGTTGAGAACACTGAGATTGGCATCCACAATACAACCTCAAACCAATTTGCACTTTTGCTCTCCAGTCTTCCTTGGTCTGTAACAGGAATGCCCCTTGCTCCACAGCAGGCAGACACGGCCATGGGTCAAGACACCATGCTTCATGGGGAAACCTTGTTTGTTGTTCCCACTACTGATTCCAACCACATAACCCTTCCATTTTTTACCCAGAGAGTCAGCAACAACTTCTGTGGCCATATGCTTCTCATAAAAAGTATGGATTTTGCATTCATCATCCACTACAATGAGTTTCTGACAGCCAGTGGCTGGGAAAGAGAAGTTTAGCTTCATCTTGAAGCAGCCAGCCACCTTCAAAGCGCCACAGAAAAGAGGCAAATTTTTAATTTTATTAATTTAATTTACAAAATTGTTTCAGTTTTATGGATGTAGAATTGCTGTGAGAATAAGGTATACCTAATTTTATGTTTACACTTAATTAAGAAATATAATTTAGAGGACTTCCAGCCAAGATGGAGGCATAGGTAGACACATTGTGCCTCCTCGCACAACCAAGATAGAGACAACAACAATTTAGAAACAGAATAACAACCAGAACTGATAGAGAATTGACCTGAAAGGAAGTCAGACAACCAAGAAGTTAAAATAGACATGTTCATCCAGACCAGTAGGAGGGGCAGAATCGGGAAGCCAGGCAGACATGGGTCATGGTGCAGAGAGCAGAGAGCATTGGGACTGGGCGCATAAGGCATCCAGGGCACAAAAGACCACAGACCTGAGCTTGCAAGCGGCAGCTGGCAGACCCAGCAAGGTGGTGATTGTGAAGCAAGACACTGCGTGCAACCCAGGATCCCAGCACTAGGAAATAGAGCCTTGGGGCGCTGATTGAAAACACCTGTGGGGATTGAGGTGCAGGGAGAGACTCTCAGCCTCACAGGAGAGGTCCTTGGAAAGTCCCATGATGTACACAAGCCCACCCACGTGGGAAATGGCACCAGAGGGGCTCGGTTTGCTCGGGGGAAGCAGCAGAAGGGACTCAGGTCCGATGGAGAGCAGAGCAAGCACCATTGTTCCCTCTCGGACCCTGCCCCCATATACAACATCACAACCCAGCAACTGGGGTGCCCCTTCCCAGTGAACACCTAAGGCTCCACCCCCTCATACCTACCAGGCACAACCAGACCAAAGGGGGTGGGGGGGAGATGGCTCAAACAGAAGAAGAAATGA